GACACCACTATATAAGACTAGGGGCGACTTTAGCTTATTATATTATTGAAAATATCTCGACTTATATTCCGGTTTATACGGTAGTTTGTGCTCATCCTGTGTATGCTAATTTCCTGCATGCTTTCTGCTTGAGGTGTGCGCTGCAAGTTTCTAGCTGCTTGCCATTCCTAACATGCCTTTTCGATTTGTTGCTGTAAGTGAAACAATGCACAATAAATGCTCAACTACCTCAGTAAAGACATGTTTCACTTTCATGTTAAGCCGATTCCTATATTGGGGGATCAGCGACGACGTTTTACAAATTTCCTGATGGGTTTTTATTAAAACTTGCCGAGTTTGTTTATATTTGTGTGCCAATTTTAAATGTTCATTATTTTTCAGCACAATGAGCAGTGTTTAAAATACAACATATTTGAAGTACTGTTTCGAGAGCAAGATTTTTCCTGAATTGAGAGTTACAAAATGAATCAGCATATCACAATAACAGAAGTGTGTGCAGAGCAACAAAAGTGGATGGTCAGAACCCCGTTCAAACAAAATGTCTATTATGTCGACCATTCGTGAGCGATATCTCAGCTTGACAATTGATTCACTCCCAAATGGTCTTACTGCACATATAACTTACACCTAACTTTGCTTTGAGCCTTAACTTGCCCAAATATAATGATTGTTGTTTTCGTTGTTGAAATCGTCTGCTATTAAAATATACCTAATGTTCTGCTTAAAGTAGTTTAAAGTTTCAATAGTACTAAACAAGGTGCTGCCCACACTTTAGCTTCCCTAGCTGTCATGCTGGCCCAGTATTAACAGTGCTTAGCTGGAGAACTGAATGCCGCGAATTCAATCCTGGTCGAGATGGTTACATCCTCGTGGAGGAAAAATGCCAAAGGGGTCAGTGTACTAAGCGATTTTTGATGGTTTCAACCTCCTGTGGCCCTTAGAAGTTCACCAGAGCCCTCCACTATAGCACCTCTCTTAGCCTGAGTGGATTTCAAAACTCCATAAACCAACAAACCTTTAGCTTCATTAAGCTTACTACACCTAGTTTTTCTAAACACTGTAATAGTGCCATCACTTCTTGTGAATATTAGCAAAACTAGGGGTGTACGAAATTTAAAATTTCAAATATCTTTAATAATAGTTGCTATTTGATTTTATTCACGCTGCAATTTTTACTATTCGAGCTATTCGAACATCTCAACGACAAATGCAGTCAACATCTAATTGAAAGACTTATATAATGCTTAAGACTTATAATATGCTTCATCTCTGCACAGCCTAATATTGCGGCAAAGCTCCCTTTCAGGCTCCACAACAGTTGAAAATGTATTGACTCAAGACAACGCCTCCTAAAAAAAATAATTCCTGGAACGTGAGCCGCGAATGCGCTGCCCTACTCTCTGATTTTACCCTCTCCCTCGGTACGAAGGCGAGCGTCTCAGACGACCGCCCCATGTGAACACGGCAATGCTCTCACAGTTGCCTCCGAGCAGCCGTGATGTCTCGTGACAGAGCGGTACGAAGGCGAGCGGTCTAACACGGCGGCCGGTCGCAACACAAGGCAGGACGTAGTATGGCCTCCGAGATTGCGTGCTGGCAGGAAGCTCCCAATTGAAAAGAGAGCGACGTTCCAGGCATAGCTTTTCTAGGAGGCGTTGCTCGAGAAAACACAGGTTCCAACATAGAGATGATAGATGTGGCAGATGTAAAGGTTGAGGCTCAATGCTATTTCCTGAAATTTGGGCATGAAGCCTGAAAAATCAGACACCGAAGATTTTTATTGTCGGAAATTTCTAATGTTCTTGTTATGTTAATGTGTACAAGGCAAATTTAGAACTCTTAACTCGGTATGCCACATCAGTTGGGCTTCTACAGGAGTTGAAAGAGCAGGAGAGGCTGTACGAATACGTAGCATCTTTGCCTTTCACAATGTAAAATGTAGTAGGCAACAATGTACTAACACAATTTAGCCCCTGTATTGCCTCATTCTTGATAACACAAGTATGAAGTACCACCTTGCCAGCGCTTCATTAACCTAGCAAAAAGAAACACTTTTATGTTTCTATATCGCACAAGAAAATGCTTAGAAATTTTTTCCACAAGCTCCTACCCCACGAGATTTTGCTTTGAACTACAGTAGACTCTCACTAAACTGAAATCTGTTAAACGGAACTGCTGCCCAAATGAAACAACTGTCGTCAGCACGATTGGTTTCATACTTAAGGGGGACACGAGTCTTAGAAGGCCAAAAATCACAAAAAAAAATCGACTTCTTGAAGCTGAAATTTTCGAAATCTGCGCCTATTTTTGCATATTTGCAAGATGTTTCAGCGCGCGAACAAAGGAAAAAGGACAGGGTAGACAGAAAGAGCGCTGTCACAGACAGACACAGCGCTCTTTCTGTCTACCCTGTCCTTTTTCCTTTGTTCGCGCGCTGAAACATCTTGCAAATATGACTACGCACCAACTAGCCCAAGTTTCCACTCTTGTGAGCTATTTTTGCACTTATCTGAGAAGTTTTTAGCTTCTCGCGTCATTATTTCTGGCGCAAAATCAATTTATAACATCCCTGTGAAATGAATGTGAGCGCAAATTGACGCTAAAATCGTGCTTTTTCCGCGCCAAACTGCTGCCGTTACACACGAGCTATCGTGTTCATCTTGGTCTCGTTTGGAAGGGTCGTTCTTCATCTTCAATTTTCTGCCACCACTGGCTCACCTCGCTCATTGGTGTTTTAGCAAAAACGCGTCATAGAGAAGCACTACCACGCGATTCAATTGGCTGCTTGGGGCACATGACCAAATTTAGATATCCGATTGGCCAAGGGGCGCTTTCGGCGTCTGCTTCACCATGGTGATGCGCACGGACATGCACCATTTTGTCATGGTGCTACTGACTGCTAGCGGCAGTAAAGAAGTTCCGTGCTACAGTAATTTGTGAAGCAGGTGTGGCAGTGGTTCGTTCGCTATTAACGTCAGAAAGATCCCCGCTATGACACAGGGCAACGAGGATAATGAACTCGACGCGGTCAACGGCGGTCGCCGAGTCACCTGTGTAGGCCTAACTCACGTACGAGCCCGTTGGTTGCCGACAACGTTACTGAGAACGGCTGTGTTTTGCAGCCTCATCAGTTAGAGGACGGCAAGTAAAAAGCAGAAGTGAAGCTACCAGAGAAATCAATCTTTGTAGTGACGGAATGAAAGTGCAGTCTTATCGCTGAACTCGCCAATGTTGTGGTTCCCCCCGCCTGACGAAAGGACCTTGAACTGCGCAACGGGTCGTCAGAGTGGAGTACGCCGCGCGTCGACCAACAACGGAAAGTCAAAGGGTTCACAGTGAACATGCTCGCGGCCCTCGCAATGGAGGCTACTGGCAACAGGTAGACTGCTTTTAACGACGTGTTTGCAACGGTTGTCGCGATCTCCGCTCGAAAATGCGGCAGTCTTACGTGAAAAGGAAACTAACACCTCGGCACTCGTGTAGCCTCGAAATTGATGAGCGAGGGAGCAACTTTGGTTCGCGACACTTACGGGTAACTTATTCTGGACAAGCCGGAAAACATCGCCGCGTTATTCGACAGATCGTGAATGACGCACGCACATTTGTCGCACATCGCTGTCAGTACAGTCACCGAACTGATAAGCGGCCTCGTGGCAGACGAGCACACGGCGACAACTTGCTACAGGACTAGAAGAAACGACACGCTTGTATAAACAATCAGTCCTATTACATTTCCAGTGCATATTAACTGACTAAAAGTATGTGTGCCATGATATTTTTCCCTCGGAACGGTGAAATTAAGTTTTAACAGCATTATTCTCAAAGCACAGATTTTGACCACTTTCTTTTGCTTGTTCGGTAAAAGTGGACCTAGGACAACTAGAGCTGTAATTGTTTTTGCACAATGTAGCTAAATGTGCACAAAAAACAATGCTGGGAGCCTATTTTTATTGGGCAGCTTCATTTTTTTATTTTAATATAAAATTTCTGTGTTTGGTTACATGCAATGAACTTTACTCTGCTGTAATTCGAGAAGTGTTTGTTCAATTTTCGATCAGCTTGCAGCATTACACTCCTTATGCTTTCTAGCATTCATTTATATGTCAATGGCTATGTAATTATAAGTGCATACATTTTTACTGTTAAAAATGTTAGAATTCTTCGTTGTCTTCATTTTCTCAAAATGGCAATTTTGTACACCCTGCATGAAAATTACTGCAATATGTATGAAACTATTACAGATAGCAGAATATTTTATTTTGCAGCATGAAGCTATATGTTTGGAGCACACAACATAGGAAGCAGATTTTGATTTCTCTTGATGCAAGTTTTCCAAACTAGTCTTTTGTGTGACCACACAGTGGCCACATTCAGGGCTGTGAAGCTTAGTTTACTGTAAAGTAAGAAATAATGACCCATTCGAAAAAGTGCTTCTTATGTTGCATGTCTTATGCTTTCTACTGTCAAACCCTATGTTATTTAAAATTTTTTGACAGGTGGGTATTTTTCTATTATAGTAAGAACAATAGAAATTGTTATCTTAGTTATTTAATTAACTAATGAAGCTACAGAAAAAATAACTACATTTTTAGAATCCGGAGAACAAACTAAGTAAGCATGCCAACTTTTGTCACACTTGGTTTAAAAATAAATGACAGAGCCCTAAGAACCACGTCCCCCCTTAGGATTCTCCACCCTTGTTCATCTCTCAGTAAACGAAACTCCTGTTAAACGGAACACATTTTCCTGGTCCCTTCAAGTTTCATTTAAAGAGAGTTTACTGTATTCGAAAAATATTCTAGAAATATTGCATTTTATTCGCACTCACACTTCAATATTTGAATTCGCTTTGCACCCAAAACTTCAGTATTCACACAGCTCTAAGCAAAACTAAACAGACAATGCCTCAAAACAAGTCATTTGTACTCGTTTCTAAAAAGCCCAAGCAGCTTCCGATACCGAAGATAATTAAAGAAGACAGCTACACGTTATGAGTGTACCTTAGTCGCTGCTCCCAGCAAGAGTCGTCCTTCTTCAGCGAAAGAGCCAACAAGGCTACCTCATGGCGTACTGCAGCTGGCAAGTCAGGGACACCAACTACGACTGGTGGTGGGGTTGGCAATGCCTCCCTGCTGTCTCCTTCTGTTGCATCAGGTGGTGTGGTAGCATCAGGTAATAGGGCAAGGCAGGCTTGCTGGCGTAGGGAGGGTGCCTGCCCACCACGAAGTAGGGCAAGTGATATGCGTTCCATCAGCAATCCATTGAGGTGGTCGGTGGCCTGGAGGTTGTCTCGCGTTAGCAGGCACACCAACTGGCCAACCTGTGACCAGCCTTGACGAAGGTTGTGCTCCACCAGCTCCCCTATCAAGCCCCGCTCACACAGAAGTTGCCTGTATATAAACACAAAACCAAAACCAAAAGGACATTTAGATATTTTATGATGAACTGCTTTTTTTTAAGAGGAATACAGTAGAACCTAATTAATTCAAATTCTGTTATTTTGAAATCCTGCTAAATTCAAACTATTTCTATGGTCCCGTATTTTGCAACGCAAGTATGAGTGCATAATTAGAAGTGGCGGTCAGCACCAGTTCGGTTAATTAGCGAAGTTGAGGTGCCATGTGCTAATTCCCGATTCCGATTTTACCTCAAATCCGCGGAAACAACCTCTCAGAGCTACAAGGCATTGCAATACAGCGATACTAATGAGTGGCAGCTAAAGCACCCCCGCCTGGCTACTTCCAGCATTAAAAATTTTAAAGAAAGGTCCTGTAGTTAGCTGAAATGTGGTCTGTCTGCAGTAAAGACAAACCTCACAGCAGCACGGCTGTGACATGCAGGCAGCAAATTGCATGCTTCTCGTAGCATCAGTGCATCATAATTTACCCACTTTTTCTGGAAGCATAAAGACAAAGGATAGTCTGGTGGAATTCACGATGTATGCGAACCCCAGATTGCCAGTTGTTCCAGCGATTTGGTGCACTTGCACTTTTGGCGGAGTTCTTGCCTGCAACGCCTACATCGAAAACTAAGTTTGAAAGCTTCAATGATCATGTTTTCCAGTCAAAGCACATCGCCGATTTCGTCACACTGGTCACGATTAAATTCTTTATTTCACCAGAAAGAATGGGCAAATGGTTGCAACGTGACCTGTTGACGCTGCAAAGAGCAGGTGACATGCTGCTGCATGTCACTACTGTGTTGCAGTGAAGATGTCTTGTTTTCCGCGAAAATGGTTTCTTTTATTGCGATAGCAATATATGGACAGTCTCTGCTGGTTGTTGCCGTCGCAGCCGCCGGAGTCGATCAGAGCGCGGCTTGTGCCACCCCCCTCCCCCCAAGAAGGTGGGGGCTTCTACAGGCTGCACTCTCAACACGTAAAAAAAAAATGGTGCCAAAAGTGTACCTGGATGGAGAGGCAGTGTTCTCTTGGCGAGACTGTGTCTTGACTTTTTTTTATGGCTGCAGCGAGGCCTACCATTCCCCCTATTTACAGAAAAATGGGGATCAAGCATTTCTTGAAAACACAACCCTTAGAGCCGCAAACTAGCCAGCTGAGCAAACGACCAGCCTTGATTACTTCAGATAATTTTAGTTCCTTGCATCCCACTTTTTTGTGTTTCATTAATTCGAAAACCCGCTTAGTTCAAAGATTTTTTTCGGCCCAGAGACTTTGAATTAACGAAGTTTTACTGTACATCAGCTTTACTTCACATGAAAATCTGTACATATGATCAAAATGACTACCTGCGAAGGCACACGAGCCTTTAAATCTTGAGCACAGTATTCTTTGTTGAGAAAACTGGGATGCATTTAATCCAATGGCTGTTTGCAGGGGGTCAGGAAAATGTTTCATTGTTGTAAACTTCATTATGTGATTTCGTTACACAGCAATTTTGGAAATGTGAAAGTAATTTACTTAAATGAGAAAAATCTAGACTTGTGCAAATATTCGAGCACTTTGAATATTGATGCAATCAAATATTAATGTATTAATGAGCTAATATTATAGTACTCAAATTAGCTTTGATTCAAATTTATATTACTGGAAGTACGCTCAAGCCTCATTATAACAAAGTTGCATCTTATACGAAATAAGTTCGTTATACCCAAAGATTTGTTATAAAGGTTTATTCCTAACACTATATATATTTCAATATTATTCTTCATTTACTTCGTTAGAGCCGATATTTTGTTATATATGGGTTCAAGGTTTGTTATATATATTAAGGTTTGAGTGTATTCGAAATGAACGAATAAGCATCTTAATATGCATGTGACCCTCTTGTAAAGGTTGTTTCACTGCAGTGAAAATGTGCCCAGCCGTGAATACAAATTTCTAAAAAAAATCCGCACTGTTGCAAAGCCCCACTATAAGCGTGTAATGGCAGCTTATATGCTCCAAATATAGCAAATTATAAAATGCAACATATTTTATAGGTTATCACTTGCACTCTACTGAAACCAAATCCCGCTACTATTCAAAGTTGCTTCCATTTTCTTTGAACCAAAAAGAATGGTATTTGCAGTTGCCTTGTTTCAATTAAAAAAAAAATATATATGGAGCAGGTTAGTTGGGTCATGACAAATATACTCATTTTTTCTTTATAATATGTGACACTATTGAAATTTGATTCGAAATGATCTGACCCGAGTCACCAATTACTTTGAACTCAAATTTTACTATTCGCACAAGCCTGGAACAATCATTTTCCATTTACCGTATTCACTCGCATAATCCTCGCGCTTTTTTTGCCGTAAAATCGGTGCAAAGTTGGGGGGTGCGAGTATTACGGGGGGAAAACTTTCCACGAAAACGTACAGAGCGAAAAAGAAAACAAAGTGGCCACAAATCGGGATTCTCACACCAGCAATTAACAGCAAGCTTTAAGAAGTACTAATTAAAACTTATCTCAACAATAAAAGCAGAGGTTCAACACAAGGCAAGATTTATTTGAGAGACAAAAAGTGGAAGCAAATGGTCGAGAATTAGAATGCCATACACAAAGCTTGTGGGCGTTGCGGGCGTAGCGGTTGTGTTCGTCGCTCAACAGGAGCCCTCAAAAGGTAAGCGTAGGACGTCAATATTGGGCCGATAGCTATTTAACAGAATCGTCCGCAGTTTCCTTCTGAAGAAATAAAGTTTACCATCAATCCCAGTCTTATGCACAGGGCAGGCCCAATGGGTCTTGGTGGCTTTCAGCTGCCGTCACCAGTAGTGAACACAAAACTCGTAGACAAACGACGGCCCTGTTGCCGTTGTTTAGTGCATGATCCATCACTTGCAACTTGAAGCAGCCGTGTAGCTTCAGTATCGCCCCATAACGTGCCAAAATTACCGACACAACATACAAAACGCCGCAACGCACACTGGCCACTTCGGCTTGGTTTAGATTGAATTGAAAATCCGTGAAATAGTATGCTTGATGCTTAAGAGATGGTGCGTGCCATCATCATCTTTGGCTGGAACGAGCAGACGACTTTATTGCGGCAGCTTTCGGGGGTGCGATAATTACTCGAGGAAAAAAAGAAATCGTATTTTTGTTGGGCGATGTGGGGGGTGCGAGAATTATGCGAGTGTGAGGATTACGCGAGTAAATACGGTAGTCCCTTCAGACGACTATTTAGAAAATACAAAACAAAGGACAATGTAGAAAAAATGATTGATAAACAGGGATAACTATTTGTGTCCACAAAATTGCCCTCAATTTCACCTGTATGGAACACTTGTAGCCAAAGCCCTCAGTAAGGTGATGCAGTGATCCACTGCTGCACTGGCGCAACCATAGCATCTCCCAGAAGACTGCTTATTGCTTGCTGGTAGGCTGAAGCTGCCAGGTGATGGAAATTCATTTCTCACTGGAATAGCAGCTGTTGAACTTGGGGTTGCTGCTTGGGCTTTTCTGCTGTCCTTCTGCTTGTGCTCATACTCAACAAGTTCCTTTCGTGAAGCCAAGATCTAAAAAAAGATTTAAAAAAAGGTTCAACTGCACTGCTTTTATACTTTACACTGTAGCAACCATGTGGCACTACCTTTTCTCTCCGTTGAGTCAATAGCCTATCACGCACACCAAGATTGGCCTGCATTCTCTTAGCAATCTAAACAAATTTCTTCTCCCTTTTCAATGGACCTGGTCTCCCAATCATTGGGTCATTGAACCTAACTCTCCAGCACTCTTCCTTTGTAGACAGGCAATGACCTCAACAATCAAATTCCTTTTTCAGAGCACTTGGTGAAATCAGTTTTTACTCGTAAACAAACATTTGCCTGCTTTCTGCTAAACTGAGCTTCAAACAAGCACACAAAATGAGCATCACATGCACCTGCATTAATTATACAAAGCTTTATTAATGCATAAAGTGTTCAAGGGTGAATGCATGGCTGAAAAACAATTTAAGATATGCATTTTCAATTTTGAGTTGTGCATTGCTGGTTCATTAAAGAACATGCTTACCTTAACACGCTTGGTTATCTACACAGCCAAAAACAGGAAAATGAACTCTTTTCACCAGACAGTGGTTTGTAATTGCTGATGAAAGAGTCTTTAAAGCACCATTTTCAAGACATGGCTGCAACAGGGGTAAGAAGCCAAACACAAAGAGAATGCTTGTGGTGGAGCGTTTGTTTCTAGTGCATTTACAGTAGAGTCTCATTAAACAGAACTTGAACGGACCAGTAAAATGTGTTCCATTTAACAGGAGTTCAGTTTACTGAGAGATGAACAGGGGCCCACAATGCAAGAACGAAACCAATCTTGTCAGAAGCATTTGTTCCATTTAAGCAGCAGTTCCTTTAAACAGATTTTTGTTTGCCGAGAGTCTACTGTATTTCACCTAAGATTTTCTGCCAAAAAATACAGCAGAATACGAACATAATTTGTTGAACTTTTCAAGCACATTCTCGCTCCCTTAGCATCATTGAGCACACTGAAAGATACACTAGGAAGAGATGACAAGAGGGCAAGAAACTTCGTCTGACCGTCAGCATGCATCATGACCTTAAGAACTTTTTTTCTTTTCCTCGAATATGCGGCTTACTTTCAATGTGATTGCGAATGTGCGTGCGGGCACTGTCAGCATCCTGTGTGAGTGCGGTAATTATGCTGTCCACAATGTTCAAATAGGCCTATGGCTTTGGACCAAGTTTATAGTGCGGTCATTTGGGTTAATGGCATCACTCATAGAGAACAGAAAGATTTCTAGTCGACTGAGAGTTAATTCTATATTACAGGATGCGTACTGCTCTATAATGTTTAGCTCAAGTGTTCTGAGGAGCCTCAACAACCGATTGGCAGCTTGCTTAGATCCTGCTGAACTGTTGTAGGACCCCTCTAAGTAGGTTCATATTAAACCATACTTCTTTAAGAATTCTTTGAAATTTGAAATTACCTTCTGAACAATTTTGCTCAGCTCATCAAAAGAGGTTTTGCACTCGGAGCAGTACTTCTGGGCAAGTTGTTGTATGGATCGGTTCACCATGCTGGATGTTGACCCTGATGCAGAACCAGTGCTTGCAGATGTTGCTGAAGCTGTGCCTGCGCTAGCTGTGCCTGCTGCCACACCTGCTACAGCAGCTGCTTCCTCTTCCAGAGCCTTGTCTACCAGGCCCTGCTCTTGCACCTGAAAGTACCAAGCAATATGCTCACAGCATTAGTCATTTAAAAGAATAATTGCTTGAGAATTGCACATTCTTGATGCGGTCTTCATTTTATTATTACTAATTGTGCAACTGTTCATATTGTCGCGACGTGAAGACAGAGGTCGTATTTGAAGACGCTGAGAAAACAGCAGCGAGTCGGTCTTTTTATTAACCGCGTGCGCGCGAGAGTTCCTCGTCTTTCTCGTTGCGTTCTGCATAAAATCGTGCAGATGCGCGTAATCGCTGTCGCCTTTGTCTTTTTCGCGAGATGCACGTGACGTTTGCCTCCATCCAAAAATGGCATCGTCCCGATGCGCAGCCAAGGCGCTCTACTTATAAAATCGCACATATGCACCGGCACCCACAGGACAAACGAGAGTTAGCTGGACAAGTAGGGTTTCATCCGGAAGACATGCACGATCTCGGTGGAGCGCTTTTGGCGACTGGAACTGCGATCGCCGTCGGGAATAACTTCGTAGTTGATATCGTTCAATCGTCGGGTGACTCGATATGGGCCGAAGTATTGTCGTAATAGCTTTTCTGAAAGTCCGCGTCGACGTATTGGATCCAGACCCATACCTTGTCGCCTGGTTTGTAGGTTACCAATTTATGCCGTAGGTCGTACCGTTTCGCATCTTAGTGTTGCTGGTGACAAATACGCATGCGGGCTAGCTGTCGGGCTTCTTCGGCGCGCTGACCAAATTCTTCGGCGTCAGCGTGAGTGTCGTCACACTCGTGCGGCAGCATAGTGTCCAACGTTGTAGTGACTTCGCGCCCGTGTATTAAACAAAACGGCGTCATTCCGGTACTTTTCTGTCGGGCAGTATTACAGGCGAAGGTCACATAAGGCAAGATTTCGTCCCAGTTTTTGTGTTCTGTGTCAACATACATGCAGAGCATGTCTGCGAGGGTCTTATTAAGCCGCTCTGTTAGTCCATTTGTTTGTGGGTGGTACGCCGTTGTTCTCCGGTGAGCTGTACCGCTGAGCCTGAGAACAGACTCCAAAAGTTCTGCCACGAACGCAGTTCCTCTATCCATGATGAGAACTGTTGGAGCATCGTGCCGAAGGACGACGTTTTCTATGAAGAAATGAGCCGCTTCTGCTGCTGTGGCCCTCGGCATGGCTTTAGTTTCTGCGTAGCGAGACAAGTAATCAGTGGCGACAATGATCTATCTGTTCCCTGTGGTAGAAGTTGGGAATGGGCCCAGGAAATCCATTCTGATTTGGGCGAATGGCTTTGCTGGTACTTGGACGGAATGTAATAAGCCTGCCGGGTGGTGCTTTGCGTCTTTGACAGTCGGCACATGCTTGGACGTGTGGGGGAGCTGACCCCCTCCCCCCCCTGTAAAGTTGTCTGCGCCGCGTGGCGCACGTGTCTCGCTCCAAGGCTTTGTTTCGGTGGTGACCACCGCCGGGCGATAGATGGCGTTGTGTTCGCTTTGAGTACCACTGCTGGTAGAGTGGTAGCGCCGGCGGTGGCCCTTGGCGGAAGGCAGGCCTTGGTGGTGGGCGAGAGTTGAGCGAGCCTCTTCTGCGCGTGGCGGCTGCCGCGAACGGTTGTCTGTTGCGTGGGTCCCCGGTGCTCGGCACCGCGGGCTTCGTGCCGGGGTCCCACGTGGAAAGTCAGGTGTTGGCAACACCGCCTTGGGTATGTGTTAGTGTGTGTTTATCATGTTATTGTGTGTTTAGTGTGTCACTGCGTTATGTTGTTTGTATGGTAGCGTGTTAATTAAAATTGATGTATCGTCGGCAGACGATGTCGTCTAAATTAGTTAATAAATGTATGTATGTTGTGTGCTTTGTACCGACCGCGTCTGTTGTGTCCGTTCACTCCAAGAGCGTGGCGTGGCAAGGCGCTCGTTCACCTTGCCGAGACCCCACACTGGCGCTCGTTCGCCTCGGGGAGACCCCACAGACGTGACGTTTCACAGCAGCATGTAAGTTCGGCCAGTAGTAACTGTTTTGCAGACGGGACAATGTTCGAGTGTAACCGAGATGACCGGAGGTGACTTCATCATGGCAGGCTTCCAGAATTTGTTTTCGCAGTGATGCAGGGACGACGAGCAAGTATGGGCTGCCGGTGGGAGAAAAGTTTTTCTTGTATAGGACGTCGTTCCTTAAACAAAAAGATGGCACTCCTCTAGCAAAAACTCGCGGCACGTCTTCATGTCGTCCTTCTAAGAACTCGATAAGTGGAAGCAGGTCAGGGTCACTGCGCAGTTCTTGTGAAATAGTGGTCGCGTTGATGACTCCCAAGAATGCGGCATCCATAGACTCGTCATTAATAGCGGCAGGCTCGACGAGTGACCGCGAGAGACAGTCTGCGTCAGTGTGTTTCTTCCCTGATTTATAAATAATGGTCATATCAAACTCCTGAAGCCGAAGGCTCCAGCGTGCTAAATGGCCGGATGGGTCTTTCAAGTTAGTGAGGCAGCAAAGCGAGTGGCGATCACTGACGACCTTGAATGAGCGACCGTACAGATACGGACAAAATTTCAGAACCACCCAAACCACGGCAAGGCACTCTTTCTCGGTAGTCGAGTAGTTCTCTTCCGTGCGAGAGAGAGCTCTGCTGGCATAGGCTATCACTTTCTCGGAGTTATCTTGCCATTGTATCAGTACGGCGCCCAGGCCTACATTGCTTGCGTCGATGTGAAGTGCTGTTGGCGCTTCCTGGTCAAAGTGCGCAAGAACCCGACGTGTTTGGAGGCGTTGGCGTAATTCATTGAATGCTGTTTGCTCCTTTTCGCTCCAAAGAAAGGGGACATCCTCTCGTGTGAGCCGCGTCAAAGGCGCCGCAATAGACGAAAAATTGGCGATGAATCGTCGGTAATAAGCGCAGAGGCCTAAGAAGCGTCTCACTGCTCTTTTGTCATGCGGTGCGGAAAACTTTGCGACAGCCTCGATTTTGCCCGGGTCATGTCGAACACCTACGTGGCTGACCACGTGGCCTAAGAGCAAAGTTCGCTAAAACCAAAGTGGCACTTCTCTGGTTTTAAAGTCAGGCCAGCTGAACGTATAGCTTGTAAAACTGTGAATAATCGACTTAGGTGTTCCTCGAATGTAGCTGAGAAGACGATAACGTCGTCAAGATAGACCAAGCATGTCTGCCACTTCAGTCCTGATTGTACAGCGTCCATTAGGCGCTGAAAAGTGGCTGGCGCTGAGCATAACCCGAATGGAAGCACTTTAAATTCATAAAGACCGTCGGGCGTCACGAAAGCAGTTTTCTCACGGTCTCTCTCGTCGACCTCTATTTGCCAATAGCCACTTCGCAGGTCCATCGATGAGAAATAGCGTGCATGCTGCAGCCAATCAAGAGAGTCATTTATGCATGGCAGTGGGTAGACGTCTTTCTTCGTTACTTGGTTTAACTTGCGGTAGTCTATACAGAAACGCAAGCTGCCGTCTTCCTTTTTAACCAATACCACGGGGAATGCCCAGGGACTCTTAGAAGGCTGTGTTACGTCATCTTGGAGCATCTTCTGAACTTGCTTTTGGATCTCCTCACGTTCTTTCGGAGCCACACGGTATGGGTTTTGACGGATCGTTCTCGTATTTTCTTCAACGATGATTCTTAGGGTGCCGAGTCAGTCGTGTTTGCTTGACTTTCGACGTGCACGAAAAACAATTTTTGAACTGGTGTATCAGCCCTAGTAGGCGCTGTTTATCCGAGGGTGACAGGGTTGAGCAAATGTTGACAGACAAAGGTGTCGAGGGTTTGATGGTCGCGTCGTCCGGTTGCAAAGTGAAGCAATTTCTGGCTTGGTCCACGTCGTCGTAGTAGGCGATCGCGGTGCCCTTCTGGATGTGACGACGCTCGTTGCTGAAATTGGTGATGAGCACTTCTGCCCGCCCATTAATTAGTGCCAGAACGCCTCTCGCTATTGAAACACCTTGCATAAGCAATAGCATGTCTATTCGCTCCGCTATCACCTCATTACAGCACGGCCGTTCACATAACACCGACAAGGCAGCAAAATCTCGGCAGGAACATCACATCATCGGCTGCACATAAACGTTGCAGTTGTTCTTCAGTGGTGGCGTCGACGTAAGGATGGGCGAAAAAGGTGACGATAGGTTCTGGAATGTTGATGACAGCACCGTACTCTCGCAAAAAAACCATACCCAAAATCAACTCTTTACAAAATGACAAAAGTGGCGACGAAGTTAGAATCGCCGATTACGAGCCGAGCGGTGCATTTACCGGTTGGCGTCATTAGCTGTCCACCAGCACTCCTTATGCTCGGCCCACTCCATGGCGTCTTGACCTTCTTAAGGCGGTCGGCGAGCTCTTGTCTCATAATGGAGAAGTCAGCACCAGTGTCAACCAGTGCTGTTACGTAGTGTCCGTCTATAATAACGCTGAGGTCGGCACGTAAAAATTCAATGGCATTAGTACTCGTGGTTGTCGTTGTCTTCGTCATCACCGTCGTCACGTCGTCTTTGTGTAGAGGCAAGGGGGTCTTTTTGGCGTCTCGGCGATTGGCAACCTTGCCCCCGGAGGTCCCGGCAGTTAGTTTCCCTGGCACGGGCTTGGGGAGCGATTTCTGATGGTGTCAGCGTATCTTTGGTGATTCGGAGAATTCTGACCCTGTGCAGGTGAGGGAGACCTCCAGCGACGATTTGGTGAAGACGCTTGGTTGGTCGGCAGGTGATCACCATGGTCACGAGGGTCTTCAAAATAAAATGAAGTGGGACGGAAAAGTTTCTAAACCGGGCTTCTCGATGACGGCAGTAGCGCGACATGTGGCCTGGTTTGTCGCAGTGGAAACAAAGGGGTCGGTGGTCGGCTGTGCGCCTCAAGTCGGTCCGACGTACTGGTGTACGCCGCACAGGTTCCCGCTGCCACCACGGCAAGGTAACGGGCCGTGGCTGAAAGGGTGCTTCTTCTGGGGCAGGCGGATGACGGCGGACGGCATCAGCATAGGTCAGTGGACATGGTTCGGGTGGTGGCGCCAGTGATGGAAAGGCTTGCCGTAGTTCCTGGCGCACGATTTGCGTAGTTCCTGGCGCACGACTGGAGGCTCGGTAGACGGAAGGCCGAGGGCCCGCAGCTCTTCCCGCAGGATTCGCCTAATCATTTGCCGTAAAGAGTTTTCGGAAACGGCAGTGTTTTGAGCGGCGGCACCAACAGGCATTTGGTCGGGCCGGCGACCATGGCGAGCGAACTTTTTATTAACCGCACGCGTGAGAGAGTTCCTCGTCTTTCTCGTTGTTGCATTCTGCATAAAAGCATGTAGATGCGCGTATGCGCTGTTGCCTTCGTCTTTTTCGTGGGACGTGCGGGACAATATATAGTGAAAGTTTTCATCAATATTGCGACGAGAACATTTAAATGAAATCAGCATAAAATCTGCGGTACAGTCGGCCAAATCTTCGAGTATTGTGCATGAGTTCCAGTTTTTTTCTGTGTATCTTTCCCATATGACTGCATTAAGTTTAAAAAAAGATGAGGACACGTGTATGCCCATAAAGCACATGTCCAGGAAGCAATTTTTTTTAACTTTTTTCCATAATATGGCGCTGAGAGTAAAAAAAGTGGCCGCTGCACAAACTAGTTGAAGTTCTAGCCAACTGTACATGTGAACATGAATGTCAAGTGTATTACTACTTTCTGTATTACTTTTTGCGATAATGATTCTAGATTTCTAACTATCGTATTTACTCAATTCTAAGCACCCCTTTTTTTTTCACGATTGCGATACTCAAAGTAACGAAGGGTGCTTAAATTCGAAAAATCGAAAAATGACCGTACAGCCCCGTTTTTTGCGACAATATATCGACGATGTTGACGCAAGAAATCTCATTTTAATTTAACAAAAAAAAATATGAAAAGAAAAATAGGTTCACACAGTGAACCGACCACTAGTGCATCAGGTCAGTCACTATCACTGCCGCTCGAGTCCGTTGCACCGCTCAAGTCCATCACACCATTCGAGCTGTCACACTATGTGTCCCACAGTAGATTGTCTTCGGTGCCGTCCAAGTTGTTGGTGATACAACATTTCTTGAATGACTTCGCGACAACGCGACTTCACGCGTCCAAAATCCATGTTGCCACGGTGGACGGGTACGCTTTCTGCAATTTTACTGTCGGTGTTTTTTTTTTTCGTTCAGGGTTCCGGATCTACTCTTTGTACTCCTGTCGAAGGAGGGCCTTGAACGACTTGTTTACCGAGACGTCCAAAGGTTGCTGCCCTGGTGTCATACCTCCTGGAATCCCGACGAAGTCATGATTGATTGAATGATATGTGGGGTTTAACGTCCCAAAACCACCGTATGATTATGAGAGACGCCGTTAGTGGAGGGCTCCGGAAATTTCGACCACCTGGGGGTTCTTTAAAGTACACCTGAATCTGAGTACGTGGGCCTACAACATTTCCACCTTCATCGAAAATGCAGCCGCTGCAGCCGGGATTCGATCCCGCGACCTTCGGGTCAGCAGCAGAGTACCTTAGCCACAAGAACACCGCGGCGGGGCGATCACGACGAAGTCACAGTTGCTGTTTCGGAAAACACTCATTTTTCGGCAGGTTTTTCTTCTTCAGAATTATGTAGGGTTACGATGCAATCGTGAACTACCCACGCAGCACGCCGTGCTGCACGAGTAGTTCATGATAGCGTCGTTATGAGTCACCGCCGAGGCCTTTGCCACCATGTTGAATTAGCGACTGGTTGTTCACATCAAGTGGTTTGAGAGCTAGTGTAGTGGATGTAGCCAAAACCGTAGCAGGAAGGCGATCCACTATCGCTTGGCGGCAAAATTGGTTTCTGGTGGAAGCTTGCGGCCATCAGCTGTAATGCATAGCATGACTGTGACACGTTGCTTCTCGCACCCTGTCGTCTTCACCCTCACTTCCCAGGCTCCTACCTCATTAATAGTGCTTGCTCTCGGCTTATCGAAAAAAACGGGCGTCTCATCAGCGTTGCCGATCTGGCCGAAATCGTAGCTGTTGAGTCTGCGAAAATGCAGCACACGTTGCTGAAAAGCAACAAGTTTGTTATTAAAATCACTTGGCAGCTTTCGACATATCGTGGTTCGGCGTCTCAAAGAAAATCTGTTCCTTCGCATCATGCGCTCCATCCACCCACGGCTAGCACGAAACACGGCGGGGGGAATCTCAATTTTCCTCGTGATCTCCATCACCGATATCACGCTGGCGATATCGTGATATCGTTGTTTTAAAAGTAATCAAATAAAATGTGTTTGGTTTGTTTTGACTGCGTCTGCTGCGTCCTTTCGCTCCGAGAGCAGAGCTCTCCATGGCGAGACACCACAACTTCTACACTAATATGCAAATCTGGGCAAGCTGGTCTTGCATAACAAGTGAACCTCAGTACAATTTTGACAGTGAATGAGCAGACAAATGACCGCCAACAAACAACTTACCAGTCCATGTTGCTTTTGTGTCAGAATTGAGGTATGGTTCACCTTGTGGACTGCAAGCAGGACCCAACAAGCCACGCAGAGAGGGAGCATCGTTGCCCCATTTCCAACAGTCCCTTCGATTGCCCTGTTTGGCACTGCATGCTAATACTTGCTTCTCTGCTGGGGGTAAAGGGTACTAGACTCCGGCAAAAGGAACCACCCTCATGTGGGAGTACGATGAAAGGTGATAAATATCGGACCAAACAGAGAGCCTCTCCTGTGCCAGCGATCACCAACATCACCAAAGGACTCTCTAGCTGCTGACCAACCAAAGTGAGCCTTACCTTTTCTTTTCTAAGTAGGGTGGGGTGTACCTCTAAGCAACGTTAATGAGTTATTGTGGAACAATAACGTGTTGCTCATTGACCAAGCTTGATTGCTTTATTCGCTCAAACCAGTCATTGCTGCAATTACTCCCGCGACAGGCACAACAATGTGCAGGTGGGACTGAAGCTAGGCTCTAGCCCCACTTGTGCATAGACCAAAGACCTTCAACCTGTTCTGAGTGAAAGTTCGCACAGGAGAGGTATGCAGTGCATTGATTTTGCTACCAAGCATGTACTAGTGATAATTAGTGGTGTGCAAATATTCAAAACTCTGAAGATTTGACTTCATTCACAAGGATTTGAATATCACACCACTTCATCAGAAGTTTTGAAATTGGTATGAATAATTATGTACGTGTGCGGAATTTCAGTATGTTGCGTGCTAAAATAGAGAAACTAGTTTTAGTTGCCACACAACACAAATAGTAAACAAAAATAGTAATATAGTAAGAAACTAAAATAAATTTGTTGGTAAGAAGTATACATAGTAAAAGACTGACCCTAAAAGCTGTCATTATATAGTCTAGCTTAGCACAGTTTTTCTTTGGTCACGTGACTTGAAACAGCATGCTGGCACAATGGTAACCCATGTAATATCAATGAAGATCAAACGAACATAAGCTATGACAACTGCTACATTAATACAACTTATTTACTGCTCATGTGGCTTGAATTATCCAAGCAGCCCTGTGACCTTAAGTGTGATGTCTTCAATTTGCACACATGCAAACAGGATAATCATGTATACAAACTAGCAGTTTAAAAGTTCATCAGCTTAAAAACGGCTTGTAACTTCTGCAGATCGTACAACTGCTAATAAACTAAGTTTTTTCTTATAATCAAGCTCATCATACAGAAAAATTTAAAAAAAAGACGAAAATGCATCTTTATCTGCTTGCGCCCCCCTCCTAAACAAACTAACCTTGAGAAGAAGCAGCTCCAACGTCGGCTTGTGGGCCATAAGCTGCTGGTACACTTTGTCAGCTTTTTCAAGAAGTGCATTGATAGAGGCCACAGCCTTCTTGCGGTCCTCCTCACCCTCAATGGGGTCAACGGCACAGCAAGGCTTGGCAGTCAAGGTGTAGTCAAACTTGGCATACTTGCAGAAGCCACAGGCATTGCACAAGAACGGGTCCTTTTCATCATAGTTTATAGCACGGCACTTGTGGCACTGAAATACATTCTCTCCACAATTGGCACAGACTCCAGGGCTGGCAGGAACAGAGGCACTGCAGCGTGGGCACTGCAACGTCTCTGATGATGCCTGAACATTTTCATAGAAGTCTGCATACTCTATCATAAGGTTGCATGCCACAATAGGAAGTGGGAAGTCCATTTTGAGCTCACACTGGCCTGCAGCCAAGGAACAGCGTTTGGCACGATGCCACATGGCAGGTCTGTTCTTCAGCTCCACGACTGACTGTACTGAACGATTGTTGTAGTAGATATTAATGGCTCGCACCATTTTGCTTCGCTTTAAGTCTCCAATACGCAGAATGATGCGCGACACTGTGTGTGAGCCAACCAGTTTGACAATCTGGGTAGAAGTGGTGAAGCGAGAGTCCACTTTGATCGCAGACAGCTTTATGTTTGCGTAAGCCACCTCGGGATTGTTGCAGACAAGGCAAGGCTCACTTTCCAGGTAGTAGCCATCCATTTCCACTAGGCCTCGTATGGAGTTGTACAGGCTGGAGTTGGGGTGGTTGCACAGGAGTTGATTCTGCTGATGCAGTACAGCCAATGCCCTTTCGGTAAACTCCTGCTGAGGCTGTGGGGCCTGTAAAAAGTCACATGAACACCCTTTGTCAGAAGAGGCTTACAGAACCAGCTAGGCAGAGAACATAAGAGAAAAAAATGAATAAAACCAATTTGGTTACTTCAGTGTAATATATTGGCACCTATCAATAGTACACCACAGTAAAATCTCGATGATACAAATTCAAAGGGAGCATGCAAAATATTTTTATAATGCCGAAATCGTGTGAACCAAAAACAAGTTAAAGCTGGTCATGAAATCGTTGACGTTCTTTTGAACTTTCCTGCTTTCACTGCCTTTCAATGAAGTGTCGCAGTTTCTGCACTCATGCTGCTCGCTCTAAGGCGCGTTCACACTCGGCACCAAAACAGTGAAAGTGGCAGAACTTACTGACAATTCACTCACTTCGTCACTTAAGCGGCTGAGAAAGCACGCCGTGAAGTCAATACGAAAAAAATTAGTTGTGGAGAATTTACGCAGGAGAATTAAAGAGAAAACGCTAAAGCGGCCACAAAACCACGTCCGCAACCATCAAAAATGTTCACATTTGTTCTGCCCCTTGTATACATGCCACCGCCGCCGCCTTCGCCGCTTGAGAATTTATTTGTAAGCATTAAAATCCATACAGCACGACAAGGCTGTAATCGTGCTGCGCGGGTAGTTCGCGATTGCGCTGATATGAGTCACTGCCGACGCCTTTGCCACCATGTTGAATTAGCGACTGGTTCACATCAAGTGGTTTGAGAGCTAGTGTAGTGGGTGTAGGCAAAACTGTAGCAGGAAGGTGATCGCTATTGCTTGGCGGCAAAATTGGTTTCCGACCAATGTTTTTGTATTGGCTTGTGGCATGGTTTCCCGGCCACTTTTCTGGCGGCGAAGCGAGAGGAATACTGGCAAGTTTTGCTGCATTCGCTCCGTTCAAGGTCAAGTGTGAACGGGCCTTCCTCCCAGACGAGCCGCGCTGCGCCGCTTGCGTGCAGTGGTTAATCGCGCGTTCCGATCATCCACGGTTGAGGGGAAACCATTTGTATACCACCGAATCACGACGTATTTTATATAATGTAGTCCATCCGAAGCAACTTTAAAGTTCATATCATGGCGAAATTCACATCAATCATAATTGTATCATTGAGAATTTCCTGTATTATATTGATCCTTTCCAGTCGCACCCCTTGCTATCAGAAAACTACAGTTTTATTTGGATGTTATAGATGCGCTCCAAGACCTCTTAAATTTCTTGGATTTATTTTCTTGTTGAACAAGGAGTAGCATCTTTTAGAACTGGTCACAAGTGTGCACTTCTACACTATCCTTTTTCATATTGAGGGCAGCACTAAAGCAAGTAACCAAAACAGTGTGAAAAGCACTGGCCCGGGTATTTTTTTTGTTTTTCTTCTTTTTATTTTGCAACTGCTGAATACTGTGTTGATCTGAACATAAATATTTTTTAACAAATTCCACTGCTCTCACTGAATCTGACAGTGGCATCATTGAATAGGAACCTTATATTCTTTTATCAGGCAAGAAGACATTCTATATATGAATGTAAGGCACAAAAATAACAACAGCCACCAGAAATTCTTGGCTGCATCACTCAAGAAGTCTTTAAACATAATCATATCTGGTAACCTCGCAACAGAGAAATTCGTAAAATCTCCGAGCGGGGAAGGGGGGCGGAGGGGTTACTGTTTTTTTTAATTTGTAGGTGTGATCGATTTGCCATTAGTGACAAGCATAACCATGTTTAGCCGTCATAAGTCATTTAGACGCGCTGAATTATTTTCCCCCATTTTCGCACTAAAAGATTAAAAAAAAAGCACCGTGAAAAACAGGGGCGGGGAAGGGGGGGTCTCTCAAACGCAAGAGCAGACATCGGTGTAGCGGTCTCATGATGGCTTGGAGTGGCCGAACACACGAGGGTAGGGTTTCCCACTATGGCGAGAGTCTCAAAGGGGGAGCATAAATGCTTCCAAAATTTTGCGTAATCAACACAACTACAGCCAAAAAATCACTTCTGTCAAAACAACTCGCGTATGTGAACGCACGGGACAACACAGCTGGATGCCACGAAGGCGTGGCTCAAAGCATTGGCTTTGCTCCCTACTAGATTCTTCGGACAGGAATGCCAAAACGCTTCTAGCCTTTTTTACGTCTTTACTGCCTTTATTCTACTGCTGCGTCAGCCACGTGTCCTCGGAGCTCGTAGATCGCTATCGCATCGCCCCGACGATTGCAGCAAACAGTAGTTTTGTTTTCCATCCATGTGCCTTCAAAACTAAGTCGTTTTATGCTATCTATGATCAGAACTGCCGTGGTTTTATCCAACAGAGTTTTCGGAAAACAGCGTTGCTTTGACTGGTCGAACGTTGGCCACGCACATTCTTTCGGAGTTCTGTCAGTAACATCATTGCCATACATGATCGTGTCCAACTACCACAATTTCGTCCACAGCAGTTGTAGCAACGACAACCACACACACTGCACAAGACAATGCGTGCGCTGGTCGCATGCGTACTTCCGAAGTTCGAGCACGCTGCCCTCGATCGGCCTTCGTTCAATGATTTCAGTAGTAAAGTTCATATCACACACTGCGGTTAGGAAAAGTGTTCGGAAGATTTGAACTTTGGCCCGATGGATGCATGAATTTGGCTGGAGAATTCCACAAATTCGTATCTGCGGCGGTTTCGCATCACTGAGACTCTACTGTATGTTTAGATGAATGCCTCTAAAATTCGTTAATAACAAAATGCGGTGGGCTATCAAAAAAGCCTTGAACGGACTAACCTGCACTTTTGTCAATGTGGCCACATCTCGCACACAAATTTAAATTTCCAGATTTTTATGGCAACCGTACAAACAGAAGAAACTGTCAAAATCTGAGAGTCTCCTGGACAATGCGGGAGACTTGGCAGGTATGCGATGATAACACCAATACATAATGTTCTCTTCTGGTGGCGGAATATAGCACAATGCCGTTTTTGTGGCCTCTGCGACTAACTACGGCAATGCCTCATAGCCAATCGCGGAGACCACGCACGCTATTTTACTCATTTTCTTTTTTTTTATCGGAAATGAAATATTTTTTGTAAAACTTCCCTTAAGATTGGTAAAATCGTAAGTGCAGTCGTCAAAATTCGTATATTTTACAGGAAAATCTGAAGACTTAGCAGGTATGCATAATGCACTTAGAGCTCAGTCATTGTAACGAAGTTGAAGGAGGCACAAAATTTACTTCATTAAGCTGTTTTTACATCAATAACAAATATATTTTTCAGCAAAAAAGAAGGGACTATCAAACGTTGAGCACAGTAAAGGCTCCACAAAATTTAGGCATGCTTTGTACAAAGACGTCTGCTGTCTTCTGCTGAGCCTTCTTCTAGATGAAGATTTGAGCTTTTTTGCACCAGCCATTGCCTCAAGCCCATCTCTGCTGTCATTGTGCATGATTAGGCAATGCAACAAATTCACAGCATTAAGGGCTTTTGCTGCAATTTGGAAGTTCACCTTGCAAACATCTGAGCTGCAACTTTCAAACAAGGTCACTAACGAGGCCTTGCTGGGAAAAACTGCAATACTGGAGGCCTTACAAAGCCACACAAGTGCTCATTAGTATTATCTGAAGGTGATGTAGCCAGCGTAGAAGCATGAGGATTTCCTAGTTTTAGAGATAAGTTTGTTTTGTTACATACACAGACACAACAACTCTTCTTTACGAAAATAAGGAATAACATACACATACCTCTCAAGTAATTTCAACGGATACAATTAGTACTTCGTTACATCCAATACTTCACTGTAACCCATTCAATTATGACAAAAGACCGACTTGTTAGAATGCATTTGAAGAAATAAAAACAAATGTCCTTCAATGCTATTCGGAGGAATCTTTGATGTTTTTTAAGGGAACCGGAAGTAAAACATATTATGCTAAAATTGCATTAACCAAAAGAGGTTGGCCGAGAGCAAAAAAAAAAAAATGTATTAGGCCTAAAAACGTGTTACGTAAAATATTATCAACGAGATTTCACTGTATTTTTTTAGTGAAACGAATTTATTGGAATGCTTATGTTTACTTATGTAATAGATAAAGTGAATATGATGAACAAGTTACAAGGTATTGCCAACTAAAAAAGAAAAAAAATTAAAGCGCTGAAAGGAACAACACCTTTTTATAGGTTTATTTAAAAGAGTTATAGTCTCCGAAAACGTCAAAATGTTAAACTAATACATGTTTTGACTAAAATAAATGAGAATGCAAGTCTGTTGGGGTTTTGAATAACTTGTGAAAATAATAGTCTTTCTTGAAAGCAAAACGTGCCGTTAACATGACACATGGTCAGAGCTTATTCGAGTTGTTTCTCTCCTCTCGGTATATAGGTAAACACAAGCCAGACACATGCTCTCTGTGTGATGGTAATGTAAGATCAACTCAACGACGCTTTTCTGGTGGGCACGAAGATAACTTCAATAAAGCCTTCTTGCAACACCGGGATGATGTGCAAGACTAAGCACCATAGTCCTACAAAGGGGACCACAAAAAACAATACTGCCTACCATAGCAGAGGTCTGCAAACTTTTGTGGTAGAGAACCAAGTTGCATGAAGCAGTCCCATCGGGGGGTCTGACAGTAATTCGAAGGAGCTATGCGCGAAATTTGACAATGGCCATGATTTCTAAAGGTAGATAAAAATCATGTGAATTTTTAGCATGTACACCAAAAAGCTGCGTTGAAACATAGGTTGCAAGCGAAAATCCTATTTTTAGTCAGAACTGCCCAGTCAACCTTCAGATAGGAAATGACAGGGGGGAGAGACGACGGTTGACATAGTGTGAGGGGTGAAGCCCAGACATAGTGTGAGGGGTGAAGCCCAGTGGACCACAGGATGCCAACCTCTGCTAAAAAAACAATACCGTATTTACTCGCGTATTGAACACATTCACATTATAAATGCACCCCTAACTTCACTCGTCAAAATTTGGATTCCCCCCCCCCTCCGCATAATAAACGAACCCTTTACATTCATCTGCTGCAGCCCCGCTAACCGACACTTGGCACCTCCTTACCCGTTTGATCTCTCATTTTTTTATTATTATGCCGAGAACCCCCCCCCCCCCCCCCCCCCAGCCACCTCTGCTCAGTCACTCACCACCTTTGCCCGTTGCCACGGGCCGTCCTATTTTTCTTTCTATCTGTGCACATCACGTCCCCTGTCTTTTTTATCTGTACGCCGCAGTGAAGTTTACGGATGGTGCGAGTGTGCCCCACAGTGAAGTTCACGAATGGTGCGAGTGTAGAGACGTCGCAGCTGATAAGCACACAGAGAGTGAAGGTTATAAACTGCCAGCACCGAGCGAAGATTGCTTCCTGCAAATACAAAACTTTAAAATGCTTAACGACGATCACGCGATTTTCGAGTGACGATGACAGGTTTGTGTCGCTATGGCTGTCGCGAAGGGCCATTCGTCGCAATCGCTTGTCGCGCAGAAAAGATTATGAATATTTCCGCAACATGGTCCCCGATTCTCGCTTCGGTTGCAAGCGAGGCAGTCGCCGTATTTTGTCGTTGATCTTGTTATCGGTGGCTTGTTTTGATGCTTCGGTGGTAGCTTGCTACAATGTCAACGGCGTCGTCGTGGTTGTCATGTGTAGCGCACGCTTCTGGGCGCCCCTCCAGATCACAGCAGGTACTACTGTTGCGGTTAAACAATCGCGAGAAAAGATAACCGTGAAACGCTTTTATGGCGTGTGCGGGTTAAGCGCGGACGTGGTTTTCCGGCCGCACTGAAATTTTCGCTTGAATTCTCCAATGCGAATTTTCCAGGACTCATCATTTTTTGTGTCGACTTCGCGGCGCGGTTTTCCGGCTGCTTAAGCGGGGAAGTGAGTGAATTTCCAATAAGTTTGGCTGCTTTATCTCGCTCTGATGTCAACTGTAAACGCGCTGCTTCCAGCAGCATGAGCGAAGAAACCGTGGCACTTAATTAAGAGACCGTGAAGGCAGGAAAGTTACATCCCAGACTTTTTTCAGCAAGGTGTGGTTGCCAATGAAGTTCTTGTTCATAATTTTTATCAGCTTTAAGTTGTTTTTGGTTCATACGAATTCGGGCTGATACGAATATTTTATTCGTATTAATCGAGATTCGAATTCGTATCATCGAGATTCTACTATACTGTATTTTTTGCTCATCCCAGAAGTTTTGATAAAATTTGCCCCACATGATAAACGCACCCTCAAATTTGCTGCAATTTTTCGAAAAAAAAAAAGTGCATTCATTATACGAGTAAATATGGCAATTAGCAAAAGTCCAGTTAACGTAGTACATTTCACAGCGTGGTGTTTAGTTCCTCCATATGCTTTGCCACATTAAACTTGTCTATGGCAATGCAGCCAATTGAAAAAAAAAAATAATGATTATGGAGTGTAAAGTGCACTTAGTGCATGAGCCATTCATATCTTAAGACACAAAGATTGCTAATTTTTCTTTCATGGCATGTAATTCCTTTCAGATACCTTGCCTTGTTTGTATCAGAAGTTATGGTAATTGTTTCGATACATGCCAAACAAGATTTGAAATGAAATGCTTTGCCATAAGAACACAGAAAGTACCTAACTGGATGAATTAAGTTCATAGTAAACCCAGATAAATTAGTGTGGCATCGTCTGTCCACTGCTGATGCAATAAACAGCCAGAGGCATTTTTCAGACGTTATGGAACAAAAGATTACTCTTTTTATGATGACTGCCTACAAGGGAACAGGATCGGCTATAATAACCAACGCCTATTGTCGTAGACGTGAACACTAAGTGAAGCCATGCACACCCCATTAGTTCAGCTGCATATTTGTTTTCAAAAACTCAAGTACATGCATATTTATCTACTGCCCATATTTTCCAATCAAGGGCGGGGAAAAAGGACATGTGCGGTACTTCCAGCAGCAAAAGTTTATGGGGCACGAGACTTATTAAAAAGCAGAATTTCCGCTTAACATGAAAACACTGCCTCTAAATAATGTTTTGGCCTACTGTTACCAATTTTTAGTTATCCATTAAATTAACAGCTTCATGTATTAATTGAGCAAAATATATCTGCTGTGGAGCCCACATTACACGAGCTTTTGTTGCCAGGTGCAACCAGCTTTATACCTCATAAAGATCACTTGTCAGTACATTTACCTTGAGTGTAAAGTAGCCTAAGAGGTCCACGAACTGTGCCGCCTTTCGTCCGTATGATGGAAGCTGTGGCCAGAGCTCCCACATCAGTGTCAGCAAAGCCTCTCGATGTGATGGCTGCGAGTGTCTGTGAAGCTGATGAAGAAGCGAGTGTGCCTGCCACCGGACAGCTGTAGAGTTGCACTCAAGCAGGAATGCTCGCATAAATTGACCAAGCAAGGAGCGTTCCACAGAATCATGCACTTGTTGTGCCAAAGCTGCACACTGAGCCTCATCTGAATTTTCAACTTCGTCAGGTTCCTCTGATGTGTCCCGCTCACGACGATGCGGCTGCTTTAATGGTGAACCAGAGGGAGCATGTGGCTTATTTGTTCCCTGCTGCTGTTGGGGAGGCTGCTGCAGTGTAGGTGTACCACACAGGGCACACTGAAGCAGCTGCAGTATTATAGAGGCCACTCCCTCATCCAGTAGGAAGCTCACCTGGGCAGTGGTATTTAAAAAAAGGTGTAAATATGAGCAATGCAAATATAAATATTTTAACAACAAATTTTTAAAAAGTTCAGGATAATATGGCTCTGCAAAATGCAGTAGCTATGAGCTTACTCATTAAACCACTATACACAATGCAATGCATGTACACACAAACAAGATTATATCTTGCTTGATAACAACACACTGGCTGCAGTCACTGCTGTAGTGACAAACAGCACAAAAGCACGAATAGATGTGAGTAAATTACCCACATTGCATAAATCTGAGGCAGCCATCAGAGTGGGGAGAGCGCGATATGTACTCAACATCGTCCAAGAGATGCCATATGTTCTAAAGTGCAGAGGATGTCCCATTATTTGAACCCCCTAGAAACCGTGAAATCATTCGAAAAAATGAATGCATGCTCTTTTATTCCACTTGAGTGTTCCAATCACAACAGCAACATCCAAAATAACGTCGATGCCTTCTGGTACAAGTAACAGTCATTTTATAGCGTGCCCAGACTCCTGTCAATATATACCGTACCTTCCGCGAAACCCCATTTAACTGCATGCCAACTTCAAAGTATCGCGTAATAAGCCCCCCTGACACCACCAGAGTGTGGAATAAATTATGGCTCTTTTCTATTGAGGGTTTGAAACGATCATGCATAACAAAAACGTCTGTGGCATAAGAGCATTTGCTGCTGCTTGAAGTCTTATCATTCCTAGTTGTGTGCAGTACACTGCCATGAGTTGACGCTGTCATTGCTGGAGCACTGGCTGCACTGTACACATGCATTTATCCTGGAAGTGTTTGTGATGTCCTCAGCCTTCTCGATCGCTCACAGGTGTGTCAATAGCGAGCAGCTTTTGTTCCTAAAGGCAATGAGTGTGTAGATGCCACAAAAGTCGCATAGTCTAGACATTTCTGGCGCATAATGTCCTATGGTATGCCGAGAAGAATGGGCTTTTTGCACATACTCTTAGGACATAATGTGCCTTTACACTATATTCTTTCTCAAAGAATAGGCATGCGGGGTGCCTACATGCACCTCTTTTTCTAAGTGTTTGTATCTTTCCACTGGCATCAAAGGCGAACATGCTATAATTAGTCTCGAGAAATACTGTGCCATGAGCAAACGCGCACCACTTAGTGAGTGTTTGTTTGGCCAACTGCTTCCGGAAGGCAGGTTACGTAACGGCGGAACTTGCGCAAACCGTTGAAGACTGACAAGGAGTGCATCGAGGATGCGTTTTCAGAGTTGTAGTCCCTCTTCGTGGCCGCCGTTCCACCTGAAGTGTCTGCGAACGATTTCATAGAAGCAGACTACAATGTTCAGGGTGTTGACTGACAAGAAGTGCCTAGACGTGTTTTGCGAGTTGTAGTCCCTCTTCGTGGCCGCCGTTCCACCTGAAGTGCCTGCGAACAATTTCATAAAAGTGGACTATACAAAGATAGACTGTTGACTGACAAGGAGTGCATAGACAACGCGTTTCATGAGTTGTAGTCCTTGTTCATGGCTGCCGTTCAGTTGTGGTCCCTTTTCGTGGCCGCCGTTCCACCTGAAGTGTCTGCGAACAATTTCATGGAAGCGGACTATACAAAGTTCAGAATGTTGACTGACAAAGAGTGCATAGACGACGCGTTTCAGGAGTTGTAGTCCCTCTTCATGGCTGCCGTTCCACCTGAAGTGTCTGCGTTTGATTTCATAGAAGCGGACTACAAAGTTCAGGCTATTGACTGACAAGGAGAGCATAGACGAGGCGTTTCGCGAGTTGTAGTCCCTGTTCGTGGCCGCCGTTCCACCTGAAGTGTCTGCGAACAATTTCATAGAAGCGGACTATACAAAGTTCAGGCTGTTGACTGACAAAGAGTGCATAGACGACACGTTTCAGGAGTTCTAGTCCCTCTTCATGGCTGCCGTTCCACCTGAAGTGTCTGCGAACGATTTCATAGAAGCGGACTACAAAGTTCAGGCTACTGACTGACAAGGAGTGCATAGACGATGCGTTTCACGAGTTGTAGTCCCTCTTCACGGCTGCTGTTCCACCTGAAGTGTCTACGACGCGTTTCATGAGTAGCAGCCCCTCTTCGTGGCCGCCGTTCCACTTGAAGTGTCTGCGAATGATTTCATACAAGCGGACTACAATGTTCAGGCTATTGACTGACAAGGAGTGCATAGATGACGCGTTTCACGAGTTGTAGTCCATCTTCGTGGCCGCTGTTCCACCTGAAGTGTCTGCGAACAATTTCATAGAAGCGGACTACAATGTTCAGGCTATTGACTGACAAGGAATGCATAGACGACGTGTTTCACAAGTTGTATTCTCTCTTCGTGGCTGTCGTTCCACCTGAAAGGTCTGCGATCGATTTCATAGAAGCGGACTACAGAAAGTTCAGGCTGCTGAGAGCTGCGCTGATGATAACATTGTAGCTGCGGTCACAGGGACCCAGCATATTCGCACAGACAGCTCAAGTGATGAAGATTGTCGGGACGAGGCAGCATTTACATGGGTGTACTCGCCACTGAAGTGGTGACAGCAATTAGCATAATTCGTCATTGCTGCGGCTACGTGGAGGGAACTTGGCTGTAGCACCTAGACATACTCGATAAGATCGAGGCCAGTGTCTTCTTCATTTCAAAGACAAAGAAGTATGGCAAGATGAGCGAATTTTTATTCTTTTTTTTTTTGTAAAAATACAATATAGGTACATTCTTGAATGCACCGCTAGTTGGTGATCGTCCACCACTAGTAAGGCCTCGGGATCTGCATTTTTTTTTATAGAATATTTCATAAATCGAACTAATTTGTGATCCTTTTAGAGTTTGATGAATCCGTGTTCGACTGTACGATAAATCAGTGTTCTACTGTACTTGTTTTTCTTTTAAAACTTGAAATAAGGGTCATGGCACAGTCAGTGAATGCTTTTGCAGACTTGCTTGTTACTAAAGAAGCGTACGGTAATTTTGTGGTTGTCTCAAATGAGTGCTCTTTGACATACCCTACCTATAAAAGTGTCGAGAAAAGATTAAACACCTTTTGGTGAAAAATTCGAAACTGGTGCTTTGCAAAAGATATAGGGGTAGCAAATGCTATTTGTACTGTGTGATAATTATTTTCAGCAAACTTAAATAAATTGCACTGGCATAATTAATGCTTTCTGTGCCATCATTAGCCCACTCTCCTGTATGGTGCATGTTTGAACAAAGTAAGCAAAGAATGACAAAAAATTTTGACTGATCCTAAGTGCAGTAGAAACCAATTTTATGTATAGCAGCCAGCGGATACCAGCCTAAGTGGCATATCTTGCTTTGAGCCAAGCATTATGAAATGGACTGACACACTTGTGGGCATCCGTCCCACAAGAGATGATAATGATGCGGTGAAGAGACTAAAGCTTTATTAAATTCTGTAATTTGGAAGTTCCGACTGTTCTTTTTCACACATGTGCATGTGTGCAATGTGTGCAATGTGTGTGTGTGTGTGTGTGTGTGTGTGTGTGTGTGTGTGTGTGTGTGTGTGTGTGTGTGTGTGTGTGTGTGTGTGTGTGTGTGTACGTGAGCATCTCTCTCCAGAAAATGAAAAGTCTTAGTCTATGGCAGAAAATTTCAGTGTGTGGATTTTTCAAACATGTCTGAAAATCTGGCAGTTGACAATAAAATAGGGGTGTGTGAATATTCAAAATTTCTAACTTTCTAATAGAGTTTACTAGTCCATTCAATTCGAGCTGCAATTTCACTATTCCAATCTATTTGAAGTTCTCGAAAACAAATACAATCAACGTCCGATTAAACCTGACAGCTTCAAATGTTCTAATAAACTTCACCTCATCGCACTTGTATTGCGGCAAAGCTGGCTTTCAGTGTCTACTCCGATTGTAATGCTTAAAAACAGTCAATGTCCAATCGAAAATGGTCCCTTCAAATTTTTTTAATATGCTTTAACCCATTGCACTCTCATATTGCAGCAAAGCTGCATTTCGGGCTCTGCTACGGTCTTAATTGTACTGACTCAAGATAAAACTGGTTCCAACATGGAGATGACAGATTTGGCAATGGTGGGGGCTCAATTAATGTTGTTTTGCACCACAGCCAGCGCAGCGCGCACAGATTAAAAACGGAACTTGTGTTTGCCACAACCCCTGTGCAGGAAACCGTGCATGGTCACTATCGTTTTGTTCATCGATAGTGAATACGATCTGAAGGTGCGCAGTTAACACAGCCATCGATTAAAGGCAATAAAGCCATAAAATGACACGAAGCGTTATGGCTTTCCTGCTGCTCACTTATGGCCATGGTAGTGCGAAGCTTCGTAACTTTCAGTTGCAGTTATCTGTTGGCCTCTAGCTAAGCTTCGGCACACCCGTTCGCAGCAATGTGCACTCGGCATGCCTCGTCTGAATATCATATTTTCTTCTGTACAACCTACCCCTGCATAAAACTGGTACGCCCGGCCGCAAACTGTGGGAGGATGAAAAAAATTACTTCCGTATTGACGCAAACCCGCCTTCTTTGCATGCTGTAAAGCAGACTTGCATGCCAAAATACTTGTATAATTTGCACCCCGACTTCAGCACCAAATTTTCTGTACATTTTGACCACGTCATACGCTATGAAATACGCTCGCTTAGTGTTAGGCCAGGTAAGTGTGCATTGGCGCCAGTTCAATGCATGCGCTTGCAGGGACCAAAGAATGAGTCAAAATCATCAGAACTTACCAATTTTTGTGGTCTATAAATAAAATTTCACTACAACAAATTTCCGTGACAAGGAATTTTATCATGCGTCCCATCGATTTCGTTGTAGCGGGATTTGACTGTACCCGAATTCACTTCACATCCTAAATCGTGACAAGGAATTTTATCATGCGTCCCATCGATTTCGTTGTAGCGGGATTTGACTGTACCCGAATTCACTTCACATCCTAAATTTTGCTATTCACACAGCTCTACTATACAGTCAAGCACCATGACAGTTGGCAAGCTACTAACAGGTGGATGAAAATTGAAGCACCCTTTGATATTATTTGCGAGCGACTGCCACAACTGGCTTATACCAAACCAAATGAAACTAAATGGACCCACCGTCCAGTCGTCGAGCACCTCATGAGTGGTGCAGAATACACACCAGAAGATAAAATGCATAAAAAGGAAAACAAAAATTGTTTTGCATTAAAGTCAAGATTACAGCAAAGTAGTCCAACTCATTCGAACTTATCTACACACATTAAAAATCTTGCACGCCAGATAGTAATCTAAGTTCTCAAAAAGCCTGACCTGAATAATGAGCGGCAATAGTGCACAAAGGAGAGCATCTGACTTCACTTACATGCGAAATTTCAAAGTTTTCAGAAGCAGGTGGGTTACACTGCCTTACCTGAAAGAGGAAGGGTAGAACAGTGTTGTCCTGCTGGCAGTAGCGCTGCCAGTTAGCTGTGCGTGAAGTAGCCACTTCAGCGCAGGCTTTGAGGTGTTCCACCACCAAAATAAGGGCATCATAAGGCAACGTTGCAGTGCCTATCAAAGGTGTCGTGGCACCAGTGGCCTTGCATATAGTGCGGGCACCTGCTAGATGGGACTCGAGGGCATGTAGATCCCGAAGCTGCCTGTACTTCTCCTTGGAACCACACAGGAAGAGCAGTAGCTTCCGCACTTGTCGCCGAATGAAGGGCGTTTGCTGCACCATCATGTACTCGCACAGGTACGAGTACCATGTGGAACCGAAATCGGGGGTTACACAGCCAGGAGGCACTACTGCCCACACCTTCTTCACCTATTCAAGAAACCAGACAGCAAAGCATCAGAAACCCCATTCAAAAATAAAAAAAAGAGCATGCTGACAGCAAATTAACTGCGGCTACACAACACATGCCAAGTAAAAATGACATTGTACAAGTAGTTCCGTACGTTTCTGGCCTAGCATTAAAATCCCTCAGTGAATTCAAAACAACCATTTGGGTGTGCAGCAATATCTACAGGAGGACTGTACATGAGTTCATAAAAGTGCATGTGCACTCGATGCATACATTTATATGAATTGCACCATATGTTTACATGATGCACTGAGCCGAGCAGCCAATGGGTGCTCATCCTTTGCATGGCGCGTATGTCGCAGCCCCGTAACAAAGCCGGAGCCACTTGTACGTTCAAGAAATTGTGCCAGGATTCGCCGTAGCGTCCAAGAAGAGGTGAAGCATTTTCTATCATGGCGACATAACAATGCTACAGTTCAAGAACTGTGGTTTTTCAGAAGGTACACAAATCACCCTAGTCCTGGTGCCCAGTGGCTACCTCCTCCTCTCAAAGCTTTACTAAAACTACATTTGAACCACTTTAAAGAGACATGCACAGGGGAGCAATGATTGCATTTTATGAGGTGTCTCTTATAAGCAGATTGAGACTGCTGCATTTTCTTATCAACACATATTGTAATAATAATCATAAGTGGGGTTTAACGTCCCAAAACCACCATATGATTATGAGAGACGCCGTAGTGGAGGGCTCCGTAAATTTCGACTACCAACGAATATATTTAAAGCAGGCACACCATGATGTCTCATATACCCATTTGTCTGGTCCATCAGTTTCTCTTATAAAGAGGTTCGACTGTTTTACCACTGGCTGCTGGATGTTCTGAAAGATCTTCAAATAAAAAAAAAGTTGCTACTGATAATAAAGTGCAGTTTGTAGGCTTTTAGAAGACAAAAGTTGAGCCAAGTTTTGGTGGGCATACAAATGTTTGTTCAAAGGTGTGAAAAATGTGTCAAGTGAAGGGACATATTGAAACTTTATTTGTTTCATTTTTTCAACTCTAAAATATGGCAGAGACAGAAATTCATGGAATTGCCTGTAGGCTTCATTAATCCATTTTATTTTTAAACTTGTTTATAAGAATTAGTAGTGTTAGTAATTACAAGCAAACAAAGCGAGTAGAGTTCTTGCTTCCATCTCAAGAGGAACTTTTAAAATCAGCAAAATGCTACTTTTGGGGTACTAAAATCCAATTTCAGAACAGGTTACAGACGAAAATTTTCTTATGAATGCCAAAATTTGGAGCAGTAGAAAAAAGAAGGTTTACATTTGAAGAAATACATGTACAAAACATTCAACCCACCTAAATCACCATAAAAGGCGCGACTTTCAAAATTTGATTGTCGTCGTTCATGCTTGCGCTTCTCGCAACTGTTTAGCATGGTTGCAAAACTATGTTTCGACCTTTATTAAATTGTTATTTCGTGATATAATGGCTTTACTTAAGGTTGTTTTAATCGTCAACGGCACTGGCTATTATATCGAAATAAAATGAACAGATACATCACAAAAAAGTTTTTTTTTTTCAAGGCCAAGGTGAAGGGTGGGTTCATTATGCGAGTGTGTTCATTACGCAAGTAGATATGGTACTCACAATTACGCGGTGCATATATGCACGAGTATTTTAACAAAATGTGCTGTGTTCTGTAATTAATGCTAATAACCCTTTCCAAATCACAAGACACTTTTCCGCAGGACACTAGTCTTCTGTGGCGAAGGTTGCTTAAGGGGGGAGGGGACATTGAAAAAAAAAAAAAATTTTGTTGACCTAGAGCAATTCAGTTTGGCATGCATGCTCGTAAGTGTCTTGAATAAAAAAAAAATGTGCAGTTTCATCGTGATACCTTAAGTAGTTCTCAAGTTACATCATGCTACATGGTTCGATTCTAATATTCTGCTCATGGAAAGCCTAGAGCTGTAACAAAACACGCCAGTAAGCTGCAAATGGTGTTGATCTTAACTCAAAAGAAGACTATTGGGTATGACAATCTCAGAGTTTGTTTATCAGTTCTCTCTTTTTTTATAGAGATGATCATAACTGCCAACACACTCTGTCAGAAACCGTGTCATGTACCAGTCATCTTCGAGAAAAAAAAAAAAACAAGAATTCAAAGATTGTCAGACCCTCAACAAATCTTTTGGGATTCAGGGAAAAAAAACTGCACCAATATCAGTCCAGTCATTCCCGTGCTACACTTTCCACAGGCAATGCACAAATTACAAAACACACTAGTGAGAAAACGCCTGTCGAAGTTTTCCATAGGCTTTTTTTTGACGAACTTTCTTGTTTCTCGTTGGATATTGATGAAAACAGGCACAGACACTAAGAATGGCCTCGCAGTGATTTCATAGAAATTTAAAAAATAAAAAATAAAAATACCACAAATACTTAATGAGAGACAAATTACTTTATTGAACCTCGTGGATGGGCTGAGCATATTGCCAATAGAGCAAAAAAAAAAAAAAACAGTATTGAGAAAACTGCATTTAAAGTTTTAACTTCTCTTTACATCTCTGAAATATCTAAAAAGTTTGTCTTCCGATGTTTGACTTCTCAAGCATGTGGCCTCTGACCAATGTGCCTTTGTTGCTTTACTTTTTTTTCCCATAACCTTCTTTTCTTGATTTACAAAGAACAAGTACGAATTTCAAACCAAGTTCTTTGAATGACGGAGTGGTATGATAGGCATGACAGAAAAGATTGTAATTCAACAAGACCATACACTGAATTGATTACACATATTTCTTGTGTCCAACTGTAATAAGCATAAGCAAGGACTTGATTACAAATAAATTCTCACTGAACATTTTTTATATAGAAAGGTTTACTGCATCATAAAATGGGTCACTCCATGACGGCCTATGCCTTCTTTCCAAATAGTTTTGGGCAGAAGACTGGTACCACATAAATTTTTCAGCAGCGGGCATATAAAATTCCGCACCCCTGCTTCATACATGCTCTTTTGCCACTGTAGCTGTGAAAGGCATTATAATACGGGCGATCGCAGAAACGCTAATTTATGAGACTTTCATTGTCTCAGAACATTCATAGAGCGTGATGCACTTGGCGGCAGCGTTCGGTGACAATGCGCAAAATGCGTAGCTACGATGACGAAAAATCGGCGCATACTGCGCTTGGTATCGCATTTTCGAGTGACGACGCGCGAAACTGCTAGCCGTTGTTCCGAGCAATCCTTGGCAGTGAAGGGGGGAGGGGGCGAGCTTGACTGTGGAGTCCGCTGCCGATGCGCAAGATGCCCGTATGCGGTTCTGAGGAGCTAGCGAGTGGTGTACTTCGTTGCTTGCAAAGAAGCACGTCACTTCCAGTGCGCTAGCGCGTCGTTCTTGCCTAGGCCTAAAGACGACTCCGATGACGCGCTGCGCTCATAGACCGCACCTCGCTTGTAGTAATCTGATCGTCCATACGCTTACAACTCCTCACTAAAGCGTAATTATATCCTAAGTAATCGTCGAGCCATGAACATGACACAAAGAGCCATTTTCGAGAGCCATGTTCTGGCGACGCACAAGCAGCAGACGACGACGATCTCCCGAAGCGAGCATCGGGTCAATGGCGAGGTGAGCTGAGGCAACATGGCGGCCACAGCCAATCAAGGGCCTCGAAACGACCTTCAAACATTTGCTTTTTGAGCGCTTGTTTTCAAAGGGAGGAGCCAGCTGAGGCGGGAAAGTTAAACACGGAGAAATGCTCTTTCCGATGATCCCAAGAAGCCGGCTCCCGGCCATGCAATCGCGAAGCTATAATCTTTTTTAAAATCGCTGCTTTCTCACGATTTCCGGAAAAAGGTTCACTACTTAAGAGGGTGAAACGAATTTTCTGAAGCATTTCTGCGCAGTTTTCAGTGTAGATATTTTGAAATCAGATATAAAGAATATTCCAAAAACTGAAAACTTGGTTTAAAAAAAAGCCATTTTTTGCAATCCCAAAGCCGCGTTCCCCTTTAAGCAGTATTCTGAGTGGGTTAGAACAAGGCCAAGAAATTTTCGAACCGGTACTACCCCACCCAAACTTTTTCCCCCTTGACGGTAGGATTAAGCTTAAGGCCCAACTTCTCGGCTTCCTAGCAAGGCACGTTCGACCAGATAAAGTAACAACGGCGCGCCTGTTGGTCTGGCGACGGATATTCATCGCCAGGATGACTTAACATCAAGCCAGAAAAATTATTATTATGTGTCGTTGCTATGGCAGCAAATGTGGTGGCTGGCAAAGATGGCGTTCATGAAATGTCGACTTAGCTCACGAGCGGAAAACGCGGCATACATTCTTAACATGCCATACCCGCATTTGCTGTCTGGGAAATCAATATTTCCCACGAATCGTTGGTGGCTGCGGCAACCGATTTTTTTTGCTTGATGTTTCATCGACCGCCGATAGATTTCTGCTATTGTCCGCGGACCAGACCGATGGGCACGCAGCGTTGTTACTTCATCTTATACGGCCTCCATTTTTCGCTAAAATTAACACACGTGAGATAATTTTGAGGCTGGTCGGGCATTTTAGCGCAGCATGGAGCTATTTCAAGAAATTTCTTAGTTTTGGCACAGCTCGATGCAATGAAGGGGAATTTTATCAAATTGACACAAATGTCGCAGCTGTTGCACCCCGGTTTTGGGCTACGATAATGTGTAAACTATAGCTCTTTTTGGACACACTTTTTTTGCCACTAAACATTTATGCTTCTGAGCCATAAGTGGCTTATATTGCTCCACATTAACTGTAGAGTGCTAACAACAATGAGCCTTTTAGTTTTTAGCAACCCCCTAGTGCTCTTTAAAGAGATTTTAACCAACTTCGTGTTAAATTACAACCTTCAACTTTTTGTCATGATAGTGGAGAAATAAATTTGTGAAAGCAAAGAAAAAAAATAAGTAATTTTTTAATAAAATCTTTTTCAAGTAGCATTTCCTCTAAACACTTCCGAGCTCAAAAAGTACAGTCAC